TGGGTGTCATTCATGCCGTCGAGGTCGTCCTTGTAGCTTCTGCTTGTTGCTCCTAGAGGGGGGGCGTGCGAGTATTTTGTAGAGGGACTTCTGTGGTGGTCGTTATGGGGTAAGTACAGTGCGGAAGTAAGTACAGTCTTCAGTACAGTAGAAGTGCAGTCTTTGAAGTGCAGAATATTTAAGTGCAGTTTGAAGTGCAGGAGTAAGTACAGTCTAAATCTTTGATGCAAAAATTGGCAATACGACACACACACACACACCACAGATATATATATAATATATATATATATATTATATATATCTATATATATATATAATTAATATATATAATTTCGGTTGTTGATTTTCCACTCGGGAACCGTAGTCGTAGAATGAAAAGGAGAACAGTGCTGCGGTGAACATCTTTATTGTAAACGTTTCAGAGATCGTAATTCATCTCCATCATCAGTACTAGAAATAATGAACCAGAAAACATATAATTAGATGTAGTAAACAAAAGAAAAACATAGTTCATAAGAAAAGCAACAATAAAATAGGAATAAAATCAAACAATAAGAAAACGGCAGAAACATAGTGAAAAAGGTGTGTAAGGGTGGGACATACCAAACAAGTGTGAAATGGTGGTTATGGTGATTACACAGTCAACAACTGGATGGCTGTGTTGGCATTCAGCTCGGGTTTCATCTTATGGGTATGCAGGGATTCTAGGATGAGGAGGTCGAGTCTGTTAGGTGTGGAAGACAGAATTTTAAAATCACTGTGAGTGAAAGGATGGTCTTCTGTTTGTGAATGATGGCGGATAGCGGAGAAAGATGGTCTGCTCAGAGGTAGGCTGGTTCTTATTGACTTACCCATATGCTCAAGTTCTATGTTTGAACCATCGTGTAGACGATCCAATGTACCTAGCATTGCATCTAGGACAGTTAAAAATATACACAATATTTGAACATAATTCTGAGGGCAGAAGCATTTTCATTTTAAAGAAAGAGTTGATATTATAGGAGTTCACAAAAACAATGTTGAATTTAATTTGTGGGAATGAATGTTTCAGTATCTCACGTAATTGTTTACGGATGGTGAAGCTTATATGTCCAAGATACGGTAACTTTATATACTTGGTTTCTTTGGGAGCAGTCTGTATTTTCGTGGGTGGACATAATTTGTTATCTAGGAATGATCTAAGTGTCTTGTAAAATACGTTGTCAGGATAGCCATTGTTATTGAAGTAATCAACCAAGAATTTCATTTCTTTGTCAAACTGCATCCAGGTGGAACATATGTTGAAAGCTCTGTTGATTAGAGTGGCGATACTGTTAATCTTATATTTCATAGGTGAGAAACTTAAAAAGTTCATTCCCAAACCGGTGAAAGTAGGTTTTCTGTAAACTGTAGTGGAAAGGCGTCCATTTTCTTTAGATATCAGTGTGTCAAGAAAGGGAAGTTCGTTTTCCTTTTCTATTTCACACGTAAACTTAATGTTAGGGTGTTGGTCATTTAGGTAAGAAAGGAAATGGTCAATGTGTGACTGTTGTTTGAACAAAAGGAACGTGTCATCAATATACCTTTTGTAGAATATTGGTTTGAAATCATTTGGACAGTTATTTAACCAGTTACATTCATGGTGACATAGGAAGGCGTTTGCGTAACTTGGGCCAAGTGGTGAACCCATAGCTACACCATCTATCTGAGTATATAAATTGTTGTCAAATGTGAAAACAGAATCTCTTGTGGCAATATTTAGAAAAGAATTAAATTGTTTCTTGTTTAGACCAAACTGTGATATGGACTCGTCTGATATGGAGTCCGTAATAATCTGTGTAGTTTCTGACAGAGGAACGTTAGTGAATAGTGATTCCACGTCAAAGCTGGCCATTACTGTGGAATCTTCAATGTTGAGTTGTTTGATTTCTTCCACAAAATCCAAAGTGTTGGCAGTGGTATACTCATTAATGGTTAGGGGTTGGATGATTTTGACAAGGAATTTAGCAAGGTTATAGTTAAATGTATTAATAGAGGACACAATAGGTCTCAGTGGTGTCCCTATTTTGTGAACTTTTGGGAGTCCATATAAGTAACCGGGTCGAGAGCCAGAAGCAAGAATGGAGTTATATATGGTTTCATTGATTGTTTCTTTTAAAGGTCGTAATATCCTGTTTAATTTATCCTCAAGTTTTAGGAGATGACTGGGAAGATCAATGTGTAGAAGTTTAAATTTAGATGAGTCTGAAAGGATGCTAGATATTTGTTATAGTAATCATTCTTATTCAGGATAACTATGCCTTTCCCTTTGTCTGGTCTTGTTATTACAATATTTCCATCATCTTTTAAATTTTGAAGAACATCAGAGTATTGTTCAGTATGGTCAGGGCTGTGTACAGATTCTCTGCAATGCTGTACATACATATCATTAGCAAGCGCAGATATCTTGTTGAAAACTGTGTTAATTGTATCTTTGTAGATGTTACAGTTTTTGAGCATCTGACAGGTCCGTTCGAAATGAACAAAG